GCTGCTTTCTTTATTCCCTGGCAGATATTAGTGAAGAGACAGAACCCACCGACGTCTCCGAGACAGCGGAGGAAGTGCATCCACCCTGCCATTACATCCTTTGTCCTCAACTTCAGTTCGGTAAGTCGCCTCTATTGCAGTCTTCTTACCATACATTGCCCACGTCTGCACTGGCCACTTGCTTGCATATTGTATTGCCTCGCAATCCTTGCCTAGCCTAAGGGAGTAGGGATGAGTGGAGGCAAAAGCAGCTGTACTGCAACTTCTAATGCTCGTACCTATTGCCTGCCTAGTCGGCACCCGCACCCCCTCCTTTTACCAGACTGATTACCTGCCATTCCTTACGCATGCCACTCTAGCCCATCCCCGATCCCACCTCTTCGGCGTTGTCTCGCACTCCACCACCACCCAGAGGGAAGGTGAGCACCTCCATCCCTTGCTTCTCCTCCTCCTCATCGTCATCATCATTTGTGGCGCCATCACACCTTCATGGTTTACATTTTAGAATTGAGGAAATGTAGACGACGCCGCCGCCGCCACCGCCGCCACGGACTCATGAGTACATATACATGGCAGCGCATTCTAACGCACGTTGGTGGGATGTGGAGAAGATGCTGCTGCCGCTGCTGCTCCTCCAACAATTGCCGCTCCGACGCGGCACCTTCGAATTGCGAGGACACCACACTGTAGATAATGGAGAAGTAACTCTCGTCACCAATTTCCCTCCTTACGCTCATGTATGTCCTTCACTGACAATAAAGTACTTGTGCAAGCCAACGCACCACTTCCTTCCTAACACCATTGCATTACTGTGGAACGAGGTCCACTTTCAGTGAGGAGTGCGACATCATATGAGATTGCGAAACGAACAATGGCCATCTTCTACTGCAATGCTTGAGTGCATTCACACCACATTCCTGCGCTATGAGCTTGGGGATGGCGTGGTGCCACTCAATACCTCTTTCCACGGAACAAGAAAATGACTTGCTAACGAACTGGGTTGGGAATACAAGTACTGTGAAGCATCACTTTGAACAATTAAAATGCACTGGAATCCTCAAACTTCCCCATTGGTAATCTATCAGCTGCAACAGCTACAACGAGCCACCTCTTAAAAGACGATTATTTATACCTACCAAAGAAGGGCAGGAAAGAAAACAATAAAGTCGCATCACAGTACCCACCTGAAACCGGGTTAGGAGTGAAGATCCTGACTTCCTGACCTGCATCACTTGTTCTTTCCAGTGGGCAATTACTAAAGTGAAGAGTAAAGGTGATGAGTGGTTATGAAGTGGCTGGATCAAACCGGCTGCATCACGACCCAGAAACTACTTTTTACTCTACTCTAATCTTGCCCTCTCCAACCCGGTCTTTCCAAATTGGGACGCAACTTTTCACGTTGAATGATACGAATTTCTATTCTGTTAAGGTCACTTACATTGCCATCGCTGTCCGTGAAGGGTTACTTTAACTCTCAACCATGCCAACAGAACTGAGCTCCTCCCTGCGCTCAGCACGTTTATCACTAAACATCAAATGTGTGCACACCATGTGCATTTGTAAAGCACTGATTTTTCTTCATATACTGATAGCCTAACGCGGAGTCACGCTGCATCCTGCGCACCTCAACTTCTACTGTGGACGTATTCACCGAAGTAGTCTGTCGATTGCCTATGGTTAAGAGGATTTAAGGGGGAAATTACGGGGTGGAGTAAAGGAGGTGTCACTGTGCGCAAATGAAATGCCTGTTCCAGGTCAAAGGTATAGCAAATCTTCGTAGTCAAGGCAACGTGTTCCACTTCCTGTAGCATGCGCAAACACGACCGTTTGATCGTCAGTGAAGTACAATGAACTACGCAACGCACGTGTGGCGATAATATTGCCTCCCAAAGCATTAGTGTTAGAAAGATGACTTAGCAAAGAAGACAACTCCTGTTTCTGTCATAAAATAGTTTTTGAATATATTATAATGCAGATTTTGTTATACTTTGATATTTTTTGACTTTTGTGGATCACAAATGCAGCTCTGTTTAAGCACACTGCAAACTCAGCGCCTTATTCGCGACGACGAGCTATTTTGCCTTGGCTGTCGTTGAGGTCTGGTATCTGCCCTAGTGCAGCGAATCTGTCCTCAGAGTACGTTAACACTGCATTTGAAGTGCCGTATTGTTGTATTTGGGATTCGTATGTCAGTATTGGCGACCAGGTTCGTCAAATCACAAGTGATTCTATTTTGATGTCGTTTATTTAAATGGCAAAGTCAGACAATGCTGGTGGCTTCCGTGCATATTTATAGCAGCGAGCTGTGAGTAAGCCGAATAGTGTGTCATATCGCGCAGAATACTGCATATTTTTTCGTTTGGAGCGTGTGCACTGGCCTTTGCGGCTGATTAAGGTATATAACATGTCATTTTGTGATGTTGTTGCAGCGCTGCCTTTGAATTTGAGGGTTTACGTGGTCATCGCATTGCCTTTATTGCTTAAGCCTAATACCATCCTTTTGCTTCTTTCTGCGCGCATCGTTTTAAATTTCGCCACTGTCTGAGTGATGTATTATCGTCATTTATTGTAAAAATGCTAGTGATCAGTTTGTAATTATCATTTAATTTGCATTGAATTTTCACTGATATTTGCAATGCGCTTTGTAGTTGCGTCCCTACTGAATGTATAAGTGGGCAGATTCTACAGAGTTGGTGCTTTTCACTTCATTTGAAAGATTTGAAACCGATCTTACATCATGCAATTTGCATAGTGCTGTTTCAGGTCGTCACTTCACTAACACTGCTGCAGTGAAAATGGGTTTATAAGTATAGCAGTTATGCGATGTTAGTCGCTATCAGCTTGACTTGGGTTGCATTGCCTTCGAAGTAGCTGATTATTTTCTGTCAGAATTGGTTTCGGACGAACTTTTGTGGATCACATATTCTCATCAAAATCCCAAGCTTTGACTGACTCACACATTGCCACTGCCAGTCGTTTGCTCAAGTCCGCTACTGCAGGATGTCGGAGTTATTAGCCTATTCTCCTCCTCCACCAAACACGATCTTTGTGAGTATTGGGTATTAGTGAGTCGACGACATTCGGATGCTTTGTGTTGCTGCAAGATTTGTTTGAAAACATCAGCAGTGCAAGCACTGTTAGCTCTTTCAGCCCATAATTTGACTGAAACGTAATGAGGCGGTTTACAGCACCATGCCTGTTGGTCTCGCCTGCCGCCTCCGTTGTTATCGCCTCGCCTTTCGATGTCTCCATACCACGGTGGCCCTTCCGAAAAATAACAGCCAACGTTATAGGGTGCACTCCAGTCCTGGCAACACTAGCTGCAAGGCGACGTCGCGGCGAGAGTCTGTGGCGAACCTGCGTGCTGCGTCTTCGCGGGCCAGATGGGAGGCAGAAGGGGTGGCGGAGGCAAAAGTGAAGGGTTTGCGTCCTCCGCCTACCTTTAATGTCTTCTTCGCTGAGCGGTTTGAGCGGAAACGTTGGCCTCTGAGGGATGCCGTGGCAATGCTGCGGGAGGCTGCCGCACCAGAAATGTTTAACTGTCTAGAGAATGCGCTTTACGCAAAGGTGAGCATTGGTGTTGTTTCCGCTTTTGTTTGCGAAGGAATGCTGTCGCAAGGTAGTTTCATTGAGGTGCGGTCTATTGCTGCCCAGAGGTTAATAAGTGGAATCACATGTGAAAGTGCATAAGAGGTGAGTGGGCGGAGGGATGTGCAGTTGGTTCAATAACTATTGGAAGGTGTAGGGAGCGGATAAACGAAGTGGGCATTGTGTGGATGGTGGAGACATAAGTGAATGAGTTCGCTTGGCCATAAATGAGTGGATTGGTAAATGAGGAGTTTGTTTGGGTAAATGAGTGATAGTAAAGTGGGATATGGATGGATGGATAGGTGGGTGGGTGAGTGGATGGACAGGAGGATTGGACACAATAAAGTGAGTGGGATTGGAAGGGGTGCAATGTGTTGGTTGATGTTTGTTCGTGTGAGTGGAAAGTGTTTGGGTGGGCGGGTGAGTGGACCATCTTTCCTACCTTTGGTGATGCCGCAAATAACCAATGAATGCACCATCTCTGACTCCTCCTCCTTCTCCTTCTCGTGGGATATCCTCAGCGATGGTTGGGCGGTCTATCATTCAGCAGAAAAAGTTGGCTTCTCGTTGCCTTTACAATTGGTGGCTCAAGGAATGATAGTGTCTTTGCGCCGTCTAGTACTTGCCTTGGGTTTCCTTTCTTGTTGAAGGTAATCTATCTAACGAATCAGTGCGGCTGCCGTTTTGTAGCAAGTGTTTGTATCGCACCGTCTTGTTAGGAGCGGTTGTCATCACTATCGCTTCCCTCCATTGTTATTAGTACTGTTACTATTTGGTTGGGTTGACGAAGTTGTCTGTGGTGTTATGTGCTTTTTATTCATTCTTTAATGTAGGTGACACTGAATCAGCGTACCAAGAAGGCGAACAAGTTCATTAGTAAGTTGGAAACCTCAACCACACTGCCACATCAACTGGACTTTCTCCCCAAACGGCGCATCATTGTTCTCACCAATGTAAGAACTGCTGCTGCGTTTCTCATTTTATCACCTTTGATTCGTCATCCACTTCTCGACTTCCTCA